TGCAGTCATAACATTATGCTGGCCTGGTCATAATAATTTGTTTTTATGGTGAATAATTCTGTATCACAAAGCACTTAGGTCCTTATCCCTGCCCAATCATTCTGAAATGACAGGGCACAGGTAGAGCATAGGGCGCCTCCTTTCCAGCACTGTCTGGGCCTCACACCTTCTCCCCTACCCTGTCATAGTTGAGTCTGAGCCAGAGGACCAGAGTAGTTCATACACGTCTGCCAGGCTGTATGTAGTGTGGAATGGATGCCAGGTGCCCGCTGCAGCTCAGCTGGCAGCCGCAGAGGTCTCCTTTCCTCTTGTCTCAAAACTTTTCCCCTCATCCTGATGGGAGGCAACTTGCAACTCCTTCCAAATTGAGGGACTAAGCCCAGCTGACAGTTCAAGAGACACTCAGGTTTCAGGCATTTGCTCCCTTGCAGCCACCTAGCTCCAGAAGAGTGGAGACAAAGCAGGAATGTTTGGACTCTGAGGATATCAGGGAGGAGGTGTTAGGGAGACAGTCAGAACCTGGCACTTGGCCAGGGTCCTGCAGCGAGGTCCCCCAATAAGTTAACCAGGCACCCTCATGCCTTTAGCTCATGCTCATGCAAAGACACCAGAATGCTCTCAGTCGAGTCACTGCTGAGCACCTGGACCCCAGGACATGGCCAAGAGACATAGCCAGGGCAAGGAGGGCTGGGGAACCCCCATAGAGCTACAAGAAAAGGTATAAAGAGAAGGGGAGCTCTGCCTAAGGTCTTCTGGTCTGTTCACCTTGGCCTAATTTTCTGTCTGCATTCTTTTCTTCCAGCCTCCATATCCACCTGCCTGGATTCCCCCATCCTCTCTCTCTCACCCCCATCTCTCAGTCCCCAAAACTTTCTTCTCAGGTGGATTTTGCATGAAGGTTCTCTAGGTTTAACCCTACCGAAGGGTATGTCGAAGGAGGAGGTTAGCAGTCCATATCTGCACAGTGGCTGTGTTGGCCTCTGGCTACATGTGGCTACTGAGCACTTGTGTCTAATGAAAGTGAGAAAACATTTGATTTATTTTACTTTAATCAATTTAAATTTAGAAGCTGATAATTGCTTCAGGTTTTAGAAAACTTTTAAGTGTGTTTGGAGCCACTCAGGCATGTGAATCTGCGTTTTCCACTGTAATTTTGTGAAATCTAAATACAGATCAAAGATTTTCAAAGAGAATTTAGCATCTGAATCAAGCAGTACTGTTAATGTAAAATACACACTAGGTTTCAGAGACTTAATACAGAAAAAGGAATGAAACGATCTCATATCAAAATATTGATTACATGTTGAAATTATAGTATTTTGGATCTACTGGGCTTTATAAAATATTACTAAAATTGATGTCACTATTATTCTTTCCTTTTTGGGGTGTGTGGCTACCATACCTTTAAATTTTCACGTGTCTCACGTTGTATCGTTGTATATCCTATTGAACTGTATGCTCTAGATTGTCCATATAGCTTGATTCACATGAGGAGGTAATGGCCAACCTGAAGAAAGACTTGAGTCTCCCCCGCCAGTCCATGGCTCTTGCCACCACATGTCCCTGGTCATCAACCCCAAAGAATCTTGAGTTCAAGGAATGGGGAGCAAGGCTATGGAGAGAGGGGAAGGAGATGACTTCTGTTACTCAGTCCAGACTCACCCCCTGCCGCCCCAGCCCCAGTGGGATGGGAGCAGGTGTAAAGGAATAAGAGTTGCACAGGCTCTCTGGGGGTGCCTTGCTCCATCTGTCTTCACCTCTGAAGGACGCTAAAGGGGGTGAGCTGAAAAATACCTGCATCCTCACTGAAGAGACTATAAGAACCTGGAGGGTTTATAATGTTTCTGTTCTGAAGCTGGGCCCACTGCTTTATCATCTGCTGGAGCAAAATTACCTTTGGAAAGTGCATCTGTTTCCATCCTTGGACAACTGAACTGAAAATTGAAAGCTTTCCTAAATAAACAATGATGGTACCTGTTTGTAGCCTCTACAGGATTACCTTTTTTACCAAACCAGAAGGTGAAATCTGGATTTGGATTTACAAAATTATTTGGAAGATGGTAGCATGTTTTGGGGAAAAAAAAAAAAAAAAAAAAAAAAGTCCAAAATAGGTAACAGGCAACCAGGAGAGGCTTCAACCTACTAAATGCAATACCTAGTGAAGTAGAGAGACCACTCTTTATATTCATGTCCCCTTGTTAGGAATGCCTCTCTCTTTCTATCCTGTTCATATCTGACTTCTTCTTTGAGGCCCAGCTTAGATAACCCCTTCTCTCTGAGCATTTCCCTGATTATTCTAGACTTCCCAGCTCTGCTTACTAAGCAATTATGTGACCCCAGAGCTGCATAGCCCATAGGCCTCCATCCTCAATAAAATGATTAAGTACATCAGTGTGTTTTCCTTTGGAGCCAGGTTCTAAGACATTAGAGACAAGTGACATTACTTGCTCTAATCAGTTACCTGTCACCATAGACCAGGAGCTACAAAATGCTTTGCCAACAACAATGCTTTAACCTCACCTCCCAAAAAAACAGTCTGTTGTGAAAAACATTTTATTTATAATTTCTCATATTTACAGTTTATGTCTTCATTACAATCATTCTTACAATAAATATAGAAGTGCTAAAGAGACCATCATCACAGTGGCCTATGGTCCATCCAAGGCACAGGGACAGAGGAGTGCTGCAGACCCCAGTGCTTCCCAGTGGTGCTCAGGAGGCCTTCAGAGAGTTTAGTGAAGGGGAGAAGAACTTAAGGTCTGAACTTGAAATGGGATTAATAGTCAATGCAGCAAAATCCTAGGATATCTATTAAGGAAATAGGTGTAAGTTTTTACTATTTTTATCAAATGATCCTAAAGAAACAAAACAAAAAGACTCAAGCTGTCCCATTAGTAAGAAACAAAGAAACCAGGGCCTTTCCTGTCCTTTTCCCACACGGGCCTTGTCTTTGTGATCTCTACCTGTAGTGCACCCAGCACAGCACCTGGGCCCTCCAGGGGATTCGAGTGAGACAGGAAATTCACACACCACAGTGCTGGTTTCCTTCAGTGGCGACTGATGTCAGTGGAACGAGAAGCTGAGGAAAGGCTTCCCAAGTCCTAAGCTTGGTCCCCAGGAGCCCCATAATGATTAGCAAGGATGCTGACAGTGTTGATTCTTGGAGCCTTCTGTCTGCCTCCCTGGTTTTGCTTTATCTCGGCCACAGGGCAGGAGAAAATGCCACTGTTTTCATGGCCTAGTCAGTCTCCCTTCTTATGAATAGCCGTTGCGTCAGGTACAATGATCTCTTTGTTCTCTTGCAAGAATTGCCCATAAAAGGTAGATAGTCCCAGGGCTCTGGAGTGATTTATGTTGGTTTCTGATGGGCAACTTTGGGCCAAGTCCAAGGAAGCATCATCTAATTCACGTCACTCTGTCATGAGGCTTCTCCCTGCTGTCATTTGGTCAGCATCAGGCATGCTAAAGGCAAGGTGAGGACACCACCCAGACTCCCAGGCTGTCAAAGACCTCGTGCACACACACGTCTGAGTGTTCATTAGGTCTTCTGTAACTCGGTTTAGCAAACTCACTACAAAGCCTTGGGGCTTGCCACTGCTATAAAAAGTCATGATGGTAGAGAAGGGAGAAGACTGTTCTCAGAGTGAGAGGGAGGAGTAGAAGGAAAAAGATGTTATAAAGAAACTTGTGCTTTGATAGGACATTCCGTGCTGTCAAAATGAGACCAGGAATCAGAAAGTTCTCCGTGAACTGCAAAGTGCCGGCCATGAGAGGTTGGAAGTTGGTAGTGGAGGCTCCTTCTCAGTCATGGAACTAACTGGTCTTCATGGGGCCCCTGCATCGATGAAAGAGTTAAGTCTTCTCAGAAACTGTGACTCAGGTAGAAGACCATGAAGTATCTTTGTAACATTCCGTTATTATTGGTCCCTAAATACCATGATGCCCCCACCCTGCACAGATAACTTCCTGCTTTCATAGCTTGAAACAGATTTCACGCAAGTCATGACTCAACATCCTCCAAGTCAGGGAAGTAGGGACGTCCCGATTCCACATTGGCAGTAGGGACACCACAGAAGTGGCCGAAATGAAATCTGGGCAGCAGACAAAGCTCTTCAGTCATTATGCTTCTGCCTATTTCCTCTAGATTCAAAAGCGGTTTGGGTCATCTCAGAACTCATGTCTACTCTAGGAGAGAGAAAGCAACAACACTTTTCAAGGAATAGCCTGATCATTTATCAAGTCTGTAAAGTACAAAGCATAATTGCGCTGCTGACAGGAGGTTGAGCTTGGGCTTAATATTCTGTTGTCCTCACGCTTGTGACTTGACAGACAACTTCTGACTCCAGTTCTGACTCCAAAGTGAGTTCCTCCAGACCTTATGTGTCTTCTCAGTCTCTCTATCTCAGGTCCATTCAGTGCTTTTGATCCAAAGGACAGGACTTTGGATATGCCTCTACTGTGTTTCAAAGAATATCTTTTGTTTTCTTTTTGTCTCTGATACCTTGAACCTTCCTGTATCATTCATTCTTCCTCCCAGTTGTAAGGTCAGACCAAAAGTTTTGTCACAGCAGAAGGAATCAGAGGAAGACAACAACCCCCCCCTTCCCTGAGGAAAGAAACTGAGTCTCAAAAGCAAAATCTAAGCAAAGAGTGCACATTCTGGTCTGAAAGCTTGGACAAGAAGCAGAATTTCCAAGATCCTTGAAACCACACTAAAGGGAATCCCTGGATGAAAGTGTTTTCTGACCAATCACAGGCCCAGCGGGTGACTTGGTTTATGCCCCCAGAATCTAAACAACTTAATGGTCTCACACAGATGAAGCAGACAGCTCAGAGCTCCTGCCTCTTTAGCGAGTTCTTCCCATCCACAGATCGTGCTGGCAGTGGCCGTGGCATCAGAATGGCAGGGCACCCACCTACAGGCCCCCCATGGGTCTGGGGCATTTGTGGATTGGGCTTCAGAGAACCCTTAAGTATTTCAAATGTTTAGGGAACCACACTGTGTAGTGTCCAAAGCAAAGTCCTTCCTTGGATGTGCCTGAGAGTTCTGGGGCCTCAGGCATGGGCTTCAGTCTCCTTCTTGATGGCTGGTTTGTAAATGACTCCTTTGTTGTCACTTTTTTTGCTACTGGAACAAGAAGAATACACGAGTCTCAGTTAAAGAGAAGAGATAAGCAGAGAGCAGCCTGACTTAGGTATGGGGTCAGATTCCTCTCATGAGGACCCTTCCCCTGTTCTGTCAGTCTTGGGAGGAATGCCCCCAAAATAAAGCATTAACCGAAAAGGAACCTGGTCATTTTCCAACTGTTCTCTTATAACAACTGATGATAAGAGACCTGCATTTTGAAGAAGGTCTCATTACCACCCCAACTTTAAACTTTTGATTCCATAACAGGATTCCTGGAAACTATTTTTTATACACTCCAGAAAAATAAATTGGTTTTAGAAAAACAAAACATCAATAAAAACATGAGCAGCGGGCATTAATAGCTAATGGGAGTGATACATCAAGTTTCCCTTCATTTTCCTTTTTGGATTCAGAGACAAAAAAAAAAAAAAAAAAAACATATAAAGATGTTAGAAAGAAGACAGCCTTGCTGCTTGTGTTCAGGCAAATGGGACCTCCCCACCCCCAAATCAAGAGACTTGTCTTCAGGTGTTAGCCACGGCCACAGGCACATCTCTACCTCTGAGCCTAATGGCCCAGGGTCTCATGGAAAGGAGGCTGGAGGCGATGGTGTGTGGGAGAGAGCGCTCCTAGGATCAGCGTTGGTACAGGTGATGGGGGCTCTTCATTCTGCAGACTGCCTTCCCAGACAGATCAGTCCTTGTGGACAAATAAGCTACCCAGCCTCCCATTCTGAACCCAAACCAGCTCACCTCTTCTTTCTTCTGAAAAGCCAAATGGACACTGCCAGTACAACACAGATGCCCAGAACGCCAGCCAGGACCACTGAAAGGACGATGCCTGGGGAAGAGGCAGTGAACAGGCATTACATTACCCCCCTCCCCTGTGTTCATCTCATCCCATGGCACTTGGATGTGAAGTCAAGTGACAGCTGTGTAACCTGCCACAGCAGGATGTAATTTCCCCATTTCTGTTCTCAGGTTCTGGTCTTTGGCTTGGTAGAACTGGCTGGAGTTCTTAGAGCCATTTTGAGACTGTAGTGATACCTCAGCAAGGGTTTGCAAACTTGCACCAGGATCATCTGAAGATGATTTTTTGAGCCTGAGCATCAAAGACTGATACAGTCTAGAACAGAGCCCAGGAATCTGCATTTTTATGAAACAGCTGTAGCTGATGCTGACGTACGTGGTTCATAAACCACGTACTTGGACCATACTTGGAGAAATCCTAGGTTACAGAATGAGAACTTACTCTGTCTTGGCCTGCTGGAGTTAAGGCCCACTGGGAAGTCTCTATCGACTTTGCTCCCAAGCTCCATTGCACAGTCCTAAGTGGTCCAAAACAACCAGGAGCCCACTGCCAAGATCGCCTAGGCAGTCACCCAACCTCCACACTGGGCGTAGGCCTGTTCTTAGGCAACGGCTTCCCAGCATGGCCAACAGAGGTGTTGTTTCGGGTCATTGAATGTACACATGCTGTAGAGTGATTAGGTCTTTCATTATGGAAGCATTTGATTGGCATTTCATCTTTGAATCATTGAGTGATTCAAAGGTAGGACCCACAGCAAGGAAAAGGGCCAGTAGCCAGAGTGATAGCAGAGAGAAGCAGGGAGGATGGGCTTGGAAATATCACAGGCCCAGATCACACCAAGAATCACAGCAATCACCCAGCCGCAACATGCAAGGCCGGCAGGCCACATACCCAGACTCAGTCCTGCATACGTAAGGTCTTGCACTTCAAAGGGAGAGGAAAAGGTTGAAAATTAACCAAGTCAAACCATGGTGGATTTGCCCAGTGTGTTGAGCGAAGCCCCACCTTTTGTTTGGTTGGAAGTACAGGGCTTATGTAGACTTTCTGGGAGTATTTCACTCTCGACTCAGGTGCCTAATGGTACAGAAGGAATTGCACACCTTGGGAATTCACACTGTGATCTCCCTCTCCAGTTCTTCTTTATCACAGCAGTCTCTTTGCTAGGGCAAGACTTCAGTTTTTGGTACAGCATGACTAAAGTGGAAGCTGAGGAAGGGTAAGGATCAGAGTCCACTTGGGCAGGCTGTTAAGTGCCTCTCAGATCCCTACCCCTCTTCATCGGTAAGGAACCGGCCAGGTTCTGGCTGGCTGGGCCTGGCAGGGCTTAGTTGGAGCCTGTCACTGGACTTCTGCCTCCTCCCTATCCAGTCTTGTGGTCATATTTGGTTCTGTTTTTGCTTTGGCCCCATGGGGCAAACTGGAGAAACCCTTCCCCAATACCCACCTCCCTTCTCTGCTTTGTGGAACCAGAAGATTGTGCTTCTCTCCGAGAGTTATTATTGGGATGAGTAAGGAGTCCTCAGTGGGGCTGAACTAGTGCCCAGATATCTGAGGTAAAATCTCATAGTCAGCCTCCTAGGGACCTCCCTGGGGAAAGGTCACGGGTAAGCCTATCTTCTTGAGTAAGACAGAGGAGCCCAGTCATGAGGCTCCCCCTGGGTAACCCCAGCATACTTTTCCCAGGTTCTTAGAACTACTCCCCATTCTTCCAGGCAGGTCCTCCATCTAAAGAAAGTCTCTCTTACACATTCCCTCTTGTCTGGTGGTTTTCTGACGTCAGTAGAAACTTCTAGCGCGTATGTGCCTGTGTAGTGTGGGTGCAGTTCATGTTGGAAGCCAGGGTTGTGCAGATAGTGGCCACCCAGCCTGACACTCAGAGCCTGTGCCCACAGAGCCCACTGTGATGACTCAGACCCTGGGAGAGCCCTGACTGGTTGTGAGACACCAGCAGAGGGCCAGGGACTCACACCTGCGGGTACTTGACCCCCTGGGGAACCAGACCCGAGACTTTGGGAATGAGATTTATGCTCACCCCCCTTTCCTGCTGCATGACCAGAGTCTAGCTGGGTCCTCTGGAGCCATCAGTCCTGTGTCCTTTCTCTACTGTCCACTTCCACAATCTCATATGGAGGGTGCAGCCTCCCTCACTCGAGGCTGGCTCGAGGAGTCTCTGGTCTGGCTTCCCCAGGGGACCCCACGCTGTTGTAAGGATAAGCAGAGCAGCTGTGGAGAGGAGCTATGCACAGAGTACAGGGTGGCCTGTTCTCTTGGCTCTTGCTGGCCACCATCAGCAGCCCATGGCCTCCCAAGTGGTAGAGAGAGTGGCTCCCGTGGCCTGATTCCCTGCCCCAGGTCTCTTCTTGTAACCTGAACACAAGGACCAGTGTGTGGCTTAGGGAGACACTCAGGATAGGAGTCTCCCCTGGGGAGAGCGTCTGGTGTTTGCATAGCATATGCTGTGTTCTCTGCACAGCCTGTGGCCTCTGCACACTGTAATTTGGTATTTTGGGGTTTTTAAGGTACCTAGAGGCAACCAAGGCTTCTAAGATCTTAAAAACAACAACCAAAACCCCGCAACTCGTTGTGGTTTCTTTTCCAAGCCTTTTGATGAAATACTCTTTTGTTCTTTGTTCCCAAAGCTCCGGATGCTGGTGGTACAAAACTAGTTCTCGCCACATAAGACCACTAGTAAGCCTAACCACTTGGCTAAGCCATCCGACCCGGACAGTTTCTAAAGTTGTCAGTTTCACAGTCACCTCAAACATCCAGAGAGCCACACAGACCCCCAGACAGCTGAGCAGCCGCACTTCAGGCTGAAGGCGCTGCCCCCAGGGAACTTAGGGATCAGAGCCAAGTCTACAGAAGCAAGGCCGCAGGGATAGGACTTTTCCCAAGAGACCATGGCCCAGGTTGGTGGCTTCATCTGGAGGGAAATCTGGCTGCCCTTGGCTGTATTAGGTGCTATAAACAACAGCCTAATTTAATCCAGGGCCCTAAGCAGAGTTCCTGGCTCATAGATGACTACTTGTGAGGGCCTAAGTTGCCTCTCTGTGGAAACAATGAAATGAGCAAGCAGCTACAAAGCAAGGAAAGCCTCAGAGCCTGGGAAGATGCTTGTCAGCTAAGACTTTGATGCTGCAAAAACAAAGCAGCTTGACTGAGCAAACGAAGAACATGGAAAAGGAGTGGCAGTGAGGGTATCACCTCATCAGAATTCTCCCCCTAAAGAAGCCCAGGGCAGGAGGATGTCGGGATGCTGCCCCGTGCCAACTGAGACGGCACCAACCATCAAGGAAGCGGGACTGTCCTGCAGACAGCGATGTAGTGCACAGGGCCTGGGTCCCATTCTACTAACTAACAGGAGAGGGAAAGTCAGGGAGACCTCGGGGAGCACAGGGATAGATGGTGGGGCAACTGAAGAAGTAGAGCCCAGAGAGAGAAGCCTAAGCCTGCATCACAGCCGAGCCTCGGGGATGTTGCAGAAAGAGCATAGGCCACAAGGAGGATGGGAGGGAGGGACACACAGCCAGGGACATTCATCTGCAGATTAAATAAGCAAGGTTTGTTTCTAATCAACAAATAAGACAAGTAGTTCCCACTGAAGAACACTGAGACAGGAGAGACCGAGACAGGCTGATTGACTGCGATGGCCCCCAAGAGCTACTGCATGAGAACACAGTGAAGGGGCTTCTGAGCTGGTTGGTAAGGGCTGCACGGCCCACAGATGTGGGAGAGCTCCCTGCAGTCCATCAGGCGCTCCAGTACGGGCCAGGGCGAACAAAGACAGGGCAGTCTGACAAAGAAGGAAGCCGCGCAGATACAGAAGACCTTAATTATCACAGGCCTCTTCCGGGAAGGCACACCCCCGGCGAAGACAGAAAGGCTGCTTGCCACAGGGCCTCGCTACCTGTTCTGGCTGGCTCGGGAGCTGCTGCTTCCACTGCTGTCTGGCTGGACTCAGGGACGCCAGTTAGCTGCTTCCGCGGTCTTCTGAAGCCTCACGTGCGCCCACAGAACAGCCCAGCGGAAGGAACAAGCACCCCACTTATACAGCTTGCCCCTCCTGGAACAATCCTGGCATTTTTTAGGTCTATTTGCAGTTCTGTTTATTCAAACAGAAAATAATCCTTTTCCTTTCTAAATATCATTTTCAAGTATGGATTGTTTTGTTGTGATGTCTTACATAGTCACACATATGTATGTATATATCTTATGTATATGTGTATGCCTTTAGCTGTCTCTAGTCTTATAAAAGAGACAAGTGGAGTTTTGGTTTAGCAAATTTAAATACAAATTTAAATACCAAAAAAAATCCCCTTTTGGATGATAAAAACTCTCATTATTCTGCTTAATACAAGTTGGGGACGGAAGTAACTGAGATGCTAGTCCCATCTTTGGATGAGGCTTTGGTAAGAAAAGCAGGGAAGCTGCCCTCTGTGACCACAGAACAGAACTGTCTTTGGAGAACATACCTCACTGGGGAGCTTTTCTTACTGACACTAGGGAACCCAAAAAGAAATAATTTCTACAAATAAATCTGCCAAAGAGATACCACCACATTACATGAGGGAGCTGGTTCAGGCTTTGCCTTCCAGAATGCAGGATTACAGGCCCAGGACAGAAAGCCACATTGCTCTGAGGGGCCTAAATCCTGGAGCAGTAGGCGTGGATTACTGAGCTTAGGTACTAATGCTTAGTACTCTCAGGTCTCTTTCGTGGCTAGGCTCAGGCTGTCTGTGCCAAAGGAATGGTAGTTGCCAGCTTTTATTCTTTTCAGGCCAGAGCAACAGAAAAAAGGCTTCACAACTTCCCCAGGCAACTCTCTCCCAGGACTTTAAAACTTGATAGCTAAGGGGCGCCTGGGTGGCTCAGTGGGTTAAAGCCTCTGACTTCGGCTCAGGTCATGATCTCAGGGTCCTGGGATCGGGCTCTCTGCTCAGCAGGGAGCCTGCTCCCTCCCCCCAACTCTGCCTGCCTCTCTGACTACTTGTGATCTCTGTCTGTCAAATAAATAAATAAAATCTTTTAAGAAAATAAAATAAAATAAAAAAAAAACTTGATAGCTAAGCTCTGATCTTTAATGTTTCTTAGGCAAATGGATTGATTTGAATGCTGCTGGCAAATTGAAAACAAAGCAAAATGAGACTTACAACTAAAATGTGCCAGCTGGCCAGGCTTACGTTCACATCATTCTCCAGAGAAGACCCTGGAGAGGGGAGAGGCAGGGAGCCGGGCTGGGGGGTGGGAGGGTTTACATTCTTTCAAACTTGTCATGAGCACCAGGCACAATGCCTACCACAAGAGTAAGATGCCAACCGTCCCTGTCCTTAGGGGGCTGGTAGCATGTGTGGATCATCTAGACATACTTATTCTAGTTTCCTGCATGGCAGTAAGTCATGACCCTGTGGTAGGCTGAGAACAGTCACAGAGATGAATGAGTTGTTCCAGCTGCACTGAAGGAAACTCTAAGGCACCTTCAGGGAAACAGGGAAGATTTCTGGAATGTTATTAATAGAGTTGGGTCTTGAAAGAATTTTTCAGGTGGAAGAGGTGAGGGGCATCCCAGGCACAGGGAATCGAGTGTGCACGGGTGAAAGCAGTGCTATGCTAAGGGACGCCCTACCCGGCATGGACGGGGGCTGGGCGGGAAGTGCTGGGAAGACAGCCGGGGCCACCTCGCCAAGGGGGTCCGGCTTGCAGACTTCCTGCCTGGTCTGCTCGGTGCCAGAGGCTTGCTTAGGAGCCAGAGAACATCCATGCTGGGGTTTTCTGTTCCCCAGAGTGCCTGACTTGGGGCGTGCTCTGGAAACACATGACCTATTACACTGCACTAGATGAAGGGACTAGGGTCTTGTTGGCACATTTGATGGTTGCTCCCAACTATTCACCCCCCATATCCCCGGGAAGTTGAAGGTGGAAACTCC